TATGCTTAAGCTGTCCAGGCTGTGAGATTTTGTTGTAGCAGTCTGTGTGGACTAACACACTGGTTGTGAGGGAAGTTTCTTATGTCTTTGACTCTGGAATGAGGCTCTTTCACTCTTAAGTCTAAGTGTATCTGTCTTTTTTCTTTACTGTTCTTGGCCTGTGTCCTATGCTGGTCCAAACTAAAATAAGACTGTGCAACCTTTTACCAGAGTTCTCAAGGTGGTGCTGACCCACTTACTTTCCAATTGAAAGTATAGCTCTTGCTGGTTCCATCCCCCTCTTCCTCTTGAAAGGATGATGTGTTTTATGATTTTCCAAGTCCATTACTGCCTTATCCTTCCAATGAATGGACATTTCTTGGCAACCAAAGTGAGTTAACTGGCAATTTTTTTTAACACAGCAACAAAGTACATGTACATTTGGTGTGTCTGTGTGCATACACAATGTTTGTGCTACATAAAAAATACTATGTAAAGGAAGGATATGAAGTCATGTCAGTCTCAGGGTGTTAGAAGCACAGCTCAGAGTTGATGGGGATGTATGCTGTGAATATTTTTCCCTTTTAGGTTGATGAATAAAATCTGTTTCAGCCAAGGACAGGTAGAATTTAGCCAGGTGGGAAATCCAAACAGAGATAGAGAAAGGTAGTAGTAGGCAAAGTCAGAGAGGTGCCATGTAGCTACTGGGAAGATAGGATGCCCAGGCATTCTCTGGTAAGCCAAGGCCACATGGAGATACATAGATTAATAGAAATGGGTTAATAATTAAGAGAGAGCTAGCCAATAAAAAGCCTGAGCCATAGGCTAAATTTATAAAAGTCTGTGTGTTGATTTGGAACTAAACTACTGAGGGACCTGGCAGGACAGAAACTTCTGTCTACACAAAGTGAGTTAAAAAAGGAAAACTAAATTGGCCTGTGTTGCTAAAAGGATAGTGGCATCATGGCTTAGGTGGTTCTAGTGACTTAAACTCAGGCTCCTTACCCATCATCTCCCTCTCAGCTCACATTCTCATGGACTCTGAGACATTTCTATTTGTATTCTTCTGGGTCCCTCCATGGGTCAGGTCAGGGTTATGGCTACCATCCGCTGTTTGATGTCAGTTAATCATTTGTCATCACAAACATTTGCCTCAGGCACAAACAGCAGGACTTTCTATTCATCAGGGAAGAACCTTAACTTTGGCACAGTTTCTTCAGGACTGAACTAATGTCTAAGTTACTTTTTTATTGTAGGAATATACCTTAGCCCAGCTTCCTCGGGACTGTATCAGTGTCAGTTACTCGTCTGGTTTTGGAGGAATACACCCTGACAAAAGTAACGTGTGGAAGAAGGGGTTATTTTGGTGTAGGGTTCCAGAGCAATATTGATCACCCTGGTAGAGAAGACATGGCAGCAGGCAGGAGAGCATGGGAGCTGGAGCAGGAGGCAGAGTGAACAGGAAGTAGAACCAGCTGTAGTCTCTGGATCCATCCCCAGACTTCCTTCAGAGAGGCTCCCCCACCTCCGGGTTCCACAACCTTCCCCAATAGCACCACCCTCTGGAGACCAAGCATTCAAAAAGGGTGACTTCAGGCCACAATTGAGATAGCATGGGGCAGCCAGCCCATGGGTTGTACAGGAGTCAAACAGCCCTGCTTGTGAAAACTGTTCCACTGGCCACTGGTTGCTTTAGGAAGTTGTTAAATGTCTTCACCACAGATGTGGTTTAACACTCAACTAATTTCTGTTCGCTTAGACAAATTGCCATAAGCAAAGCTAATCAAAGCTGCTGTTTTTATTAAGAGTTTTAGAAGTTTTGCACCCAGCAAGCCTGAACCTGTCTATTAAAAATAGATTTGTAGAGTGAATTGGTAGTTATATTTATGGTGTATTAAAACAGTTACTGACATGATCCAGAAGTTTATGGTTCACTTTGATTCCACCTGTCTCAATGGTATCCCAGCTACATATCTGGGTTTCTACAGGATGCTAATTAACAATGTCCAATGAACAGAAGTGTTTCAGAACCACTCACTTAAATGGATGTGAATATGACAGAAGCAATACTATGGCCCTGTGTGCTGTAAACACTAAGAAAGGCCTGAAAGCCCCCCAGGCCATGCGTACATCCCTCAGAGGACCTCACAGCACCGTCCCACAAGACTCACTTGCAGATCCTACCATCCGGTTGGTCTGTTATTTGAAATGTGGTTAATACTGAGGATTTTAAGTACAGGAGTCTCAACTTCAACCTCTTTGCATAATGATGAGGCCTTTGTGATTCCATTTTGGGATGAAAATGGCACAGTATCAGTACTGACCACAAAATAGCAAGGTCTGTGACTGTAGAACAAGTTGTATCTGAACTTCAAAAGGGACACATGTAGTCAACCTGCAGGGACTCCAGTGGGGACTGTTCGGTCATGTGCACGTGGGAGATTTCGATGCAGCCTTCCATTAGGAAGCCCAAAGGCCAACATTCTGGCATGTCTCAAAACCTGTCTATTTTACTCATGCAGTACTTATTAACCCAGGGTTTGCTCCATTCCAGGGTGTACCTAGAAGTAGCTTAACTCTGTGAACAATGAAAATTCTCAGTTCAGTTTCAGCTTTAGTCTGCTTTTCCCTATTGACAGAGAAAGGACTATTCCACTTCAACTAAATTATCATTGTCAGGGGCTAGAGCAACGGCTCAGCAGTTAGGAGCACAACTTCCAGTTATGCTAAGGTTTGAACTTAGAAGGTCCTAAGTTCAATCCTTAGCACCCACGTGGCAGCACACAGCCATCTATAACTATAGTCTGAAGGATCCTATGACCTCTTCTAATGTGCCTATGTACATACAGACAAAACACCCATATACACAAAATATATCAATGATTTTTAATTAGTTAAATCTTGTAATGTTTAAAGGGACTTTTTGAATAATTTCCAGTAGATATATCGTACATGCTATAGCATTCTTAAACTGTAGCAGCAAAGAAAGGCATCACACTAAAAGTGATGAATGAAAGTCAGCTCCCAGAAAATTCATTTGATCCATTTATAACATATTCAGAATTTTACCAATAACCATTATCAAATACTATATAGCATCTTTTTTCATACATTCTCTCAATTAAAAGCCTAATCCCTACAGTTCTTTTTTCCAAAAAGAAGTTATGATGCTGGTTAATTTCTCTGGATGTAAGAATGGGTGGGAAGTGGGGTGCTATCCTATGTCATTCTGTTGACCTCCAGGGATTACATGGGTGGCCCACTGTGCACTGGGTTTGGGATGGTCTTCAGATATAAATGTCATGTGAAAAGTATTATGTGGTCATAGACCTCTGCAGCTTTGTTTAGGCCATTGATGGCACTAATGATTTACACATAACTTAGGAAGGTGTTTAAATCACTGCACTGTCTCCAAATCAGTACAGTTCCTACCCCGAACTGAACACAGAGTCTCTTGGTGTGTTGGCAGTAACAACACTGGGGCACTTGTGTCTTGATCTGAAGAACTCCATACTAAGCTCCCTGAAGCATTTGTAAACCTCGACAAGAGATACCGGAATGCCATTTGAATATATAATATTTAAAAAGAAAGGGCAAACATCTGACAAGAGGGCTGATCTCCAAAATATACAAAGAACTCAAAATAGACATTAAACTACCAAATAATTCAGTTAAAAAATGGGGTACAGATCTAAATAGAATTCTCAACAGAACAATCTCAAATGGTAGAAAGACACTTAGCTCAACATTCTTAGTCATCAGGGAAATGCAAATCAAAGCAACTCTATTCCATCTTACACTGATCAGAATGGCTAAGATCAAAAACACCAATGACAGCTCATGATGGAGAGGATGTGGAGAAAGGGGAACACTCCTCCATTGCTGGTGGGAGTGCAAACTTGTACACCCACTGTGGAAATCAGTATGGTGATTTTTTCAGAAAATTAAGGATCAACCTACCTCAAAACTCTGCATTACCACTTTGGGGCATATACCCAAAGAAGGCACTCTGCTGTGTTAATAGCAACATTATTTGTAACAACGAGATCTTGGAATCAACCTAGATGTCCTCAACTGGAGAAAAGACAAAGAAAATGTGGTACATTTACACAATGAGTACTACTCAGAGGTAAGAAACAATGACATCCTAAAATTTTCAAGCAAATGGACAGAACTAGAAAAAAACTATCCTGAGTGAGGTAACTCAAATCCAGAAAGACAAATATAGTATATACTCATTCATAGGTGGATACCAGACATAAAGCAAAGATATCCAGCCTACAATCCACAACCCCAGAGAAGCTAGAACCTTCTTCTAAAAACAGATGAAAGCAGATGCAGAAATCCACAACTAACCATTGGGCCAAGCTCCTGGAATACAACTGAAATGAGGGAGGAGCAATAATACGAACAAAGGATCAAGATCATGATGGGGAAACCACAAAATCACCTGATCTGAGCTAGTGAGAGATCACTGACTCTGGTCTGACAAATGGGGGAAACCTGAATAAGACTGAACTAGACTCCCTTAATATAGGTAACAGTGGTGCAGCTGGGACAATATATGAGGCCACTGGCAGTGGGTCCTAGACACTTGGTCCTGCCTCAATGAGATGATGGGACAGACTTAGTAGACTTCCTAGGTGAGGCCTTACCCTCTCCGAGGAGCAGAGGGGGGTGGGATAAGAAGAAGGAGAGGAGGGGGAATGGGGATTGGAATGTAAAAAAAAAAAATAAAGGTAATTTTAAAAGGGGGGAGCAAGCCTTTCATCATAGCACTAAAGAGGCAGAGACAGGCGTATCTCTGAGATCTACATATCTAGTTTCTGGTCTACAGAGAGATCCTATCTCAAGGGAAAAGAGAAAGGATATGGGGTGGGGGAAATGGGGACATGGCTTGAGATGTCTAATCAAGGAGGGGAAACTGCCCAAGTAAAAAGAACAGGTTTTAGAGTAAGATGTATAGTCAATGAGCAGTACAGAAATACCTCCTCAGCAAGCATAGCTGTCTGCTACAGTGCTTTAAATTTTAAAGGCACATGTCATTTTAATACATACATCTGTGCATATAGAACCTTGCAATCACCTGTACTTCTGTCCACAAAAGCCAATGGGAAAAGACTGGAAAGAAACAGAAACCAATAGAATCAGAAGGGAGTGTGATAGAGTCAAAATCAGGAAGAGTCCAATGCAAAAACCTGAAGTGTCCGTTAGATTTGGCAGTCTCTCTGGTGGCCTTGAAAAAGAGCAAATTCAGTAGATTGTTAAGGGCAAAGCCAGCTTGTGGCAGACTGAGCAAACCCAATGTATTGAATGGCTGTGTGTACATTGGCAGGCAATTCTGAAAAGTATAAAAGGGAAGTTTTTTTTTAACACCCCCCCATTGCCAAGTGCTAAGAGTTATTGGTGAATAAGGTATTCAGTGCTACAGTTATGCATATGTGCTTTGTGTGAATGAGAACTGCTTGTAACAAACAGGTCAGGTTATCTGGCATTCGACATGGTGTAAGCTTGTGTGAGAAAGGATTGGTTCATACTACGAGACTAAGGAGCCCCAAGATCAATTAGACATTTCTGCAGGATCAAATTGTATTCTTTCAAAACGGAAGTCCTTCCACTTTGAGTGCCGGTTCTGAGCTCCACTTGCAATATCTTCTACCACAAAACTTTCAATTTTTATGACTGGAATCTCAAATGTCTTGTATTTCACATGAATTCCCCAGTCGTGGCGGCAGTTCTGGATGGCACAGAATATTTTTGCTTTCTTCTCGAAGCTATCATAGATCTTTGGTTTAGGGTGTGGCTTAGACACAAAGCGTTCCTTAAAAGCCTCTCCAAGGACAGTGTAGTGGGATTTCTGTGTGGAAGAGATTGAACGAAAAAGGATATTAGAAGTCAGTCTGAAAAGGACTAAAAACTACTCACCAGCCAGGGAGGACGAGTGAGTGGCATCTCTGTTATTTTACAGATGGAAACAGGAGAGAATATGGACAGTCTCCTGCAGGTAAGAGAAGGGCCCATTTACTGGGCCTCACAGGTGGGAGCAGGTACAAGTGCTATGTGCCGACCACCTAAGAAGACTGTACAAGTTCACCAGAGTCCAGAAAGGCACAAACCAAAGCACAGGGATGAACCCCAAGGGTCAGAGTGTGTGTGTGTGTGTGTGTGTGTGTGTGTGTGTGTGTGTGTAGGGCCTCAGGAGCTGGGTTGTCCACAGGCCCTGCTGATAGTTGACTTGAAAGTGTACCCTGCAGAAACAAGTGCAGAACCAGCATCACATCCTCCAGGGAAATGGTCTAGCAGGGCCTCTGTGAACAAGAAGCCATTGAAACTGGAGCTGAAAGGACCATTTACTTCTAAAGAATCAGATTCAGAAAACAAATGTCTTGCCAAATAAGTGATATGCTTCTTGCTCAAATGGTCCCATCCCCTAGCTAGTCCAGCCATCCACCCCCCTCCATTGGTATCAAGAACTACACCAGCATTCATCTCTGAAGGTTTTGCTAACCTTTAATTAAAAGTTTTAAGGGGCCAGACCTGGTGGCACATGCCTTTAATCACAGCATTCAGGACTCA